CCCCCCCCCCCCGGAACTTCATTTTTTTTTGTTTTTCTTCTTTTATCTTTCTCTTTGATTTAAATTGTGTTTTCTTTTTCTCCAAAAATTCTTATTCCCTCCCCTTTTTCGGTATTTTATTTTTATTTTTATTTTTCTTGAAATTTTGAATTTTTCTGCGGCACCTCTATATCTGTTCAGGACTTAGTTATTTCAGCTCTCGGCGCACATTTTGACCCCGTGGGGGTAATGAAGTGCTGCCAAAATTTTCTCTTTTCTCCCTGCTCTCTCCCATCTTACTTAGTCATATCTTTTGCCGACACACTTCCACCCCATGGGGGTAACGAAATGCTGCCGAAAATTTCAAAAAAATAAATATTCTTTCTCTCTTCACATGTTGAACTATTGTTATTATTTATTTATTTTTATTTTTATCTCGAAATTTCATCGTTTATTTATTTCTCTTTCCCCCTCCCCTCCAAGGTGGCTATTTTTATCCTACCCTAACAACCAAAACTCCGGTTAGGGTTTTCTTAGGGTTTTTCTAAGATTTAGGGTTCTCCTAGCCCCCCTCCTCTCCTGCCTCCTCTCGCCAGGCACCCTGTACCTGAACGACTCCTTTCCCTTCGACCAGATTCATGCCACCATCTCACGCGCTACCCACTCCGCTCCCGCGGCCCCCTCCCTCTCTGGTCCCTTATTCCCACGCCATAACCCATCCCCTTCCCCACCTCTTTCTCCACCTCCCGCCATGTTTACCACCATGCGTCCACTACCCACGAACGGGGCTACAGCTGAGGAGATCGTCGTGGTGCCCTCCGTCTCTCAGGCGCCCACCCACCCAACGGTCCAGGGTCAGCACTTTATGGAGCCCACGGACCTTCGCGCTGTTCTTGTGTCCCTCCTTGCACCTCTGCAAGCGCGCCTTGATGCGCTTGCACCCTTGGAGAGGCAAGTAAATGCGCTCGCCCTTGAAGTTCACGGCCTCAAGGGTTCTCCTCATCGCTCTCCTCACTGCTCTCAGACTCCATCCCCTACCAGCTCAGAGTCCGGTTATCCAAGACTCCGGAGACGAAGACGTGGTGGTTCGTCCTCCTCCGCGGGTCAGGCTCAATACTCCCCTCCGTGATGGTGAGGGTTGCCGCCGCTCAGCCTATACCATCTGTTGCGTCACACCCGTCGGACCCTGTCGCCTCTGCCATTTCGACCACTATCGTCTTGCCCAGATACCGGTATCTGACCAGATAGTTTCATCTACTCATCCCGGTGTCGCTTCCCAGCTTCCCGCTTCGATCCCGACACTACGGACCGGAGTCCTCCCTCCTCCCATCCTCTCCTTACTCCCACCCCAGGGTTCCCTGCAGTTCGTTACTCCTTTTTCCGCTAGGGTACCCTCTCCACCTCCTCCACCTCCGACCCCGTGCACCCAGCAAGTGGCTACTTTGCAGGCCACCATCACGCAGCTCCAGGCGGAGATTCTCTCCTTGAGACAGCCTCACCCTTCACAGACTGCTCACCCTTCTTTTTACACTGCCTCTCCCACCTCTGTCTTGCCGGCTCGTTTCCCTTGACCGACTCTGCCCCCTCTACCCTCCTACCTCTCCACTCCGTCACAGCTGGCTGCGGCAGTTGCCTCCACCTCTGCTAGACCTTCCACCAGAAGCCCCGGCTCACATCTTGCCACCACTTCTACCCCTGCACCGGCCTCGACATCTGTCGTCGCAGTGCAAGCCCATCAACCCGTCTCCCCTCGCTGTCAGTACAGTGGTCCCACCCTTGTGCGCCTGTCAGATATACCCGACTACGATGGTACACTTCGTGTGTTGCACTGGTTGTAGGCTGCCACACGTGTGCTGACACTGACCAGCACTAGTCAGAACTTGTGGTGCTCTTTGCTCGCAACTAAATTGTGAGGCAGCTCGTTCTCCGCATGAGAGAACTATTATACCCATCGTACTCGTTCGGGTGAGGCTCCCACTCTCGCGGATTTCACCGCGTTCCTTCATGACCTCTATGACACTCTCCATGATGTGATCGATGCCTTAGATCGGGTCACACAGATGCAGTGGCGCGGGTTTTCCGCACCAACAGACCTTGAGCGTCACATCAAAGTGTTTCAAGACGCCCGTCTAATTTGTGATGAGACACTCCGACTTGAGGTCCTTTGGACCAACGGGTTCGTAGTCAGTTTTTCGACTGACTACCGCATCGAGCTCTGGCGATAGAGCTTCGCCTCCTCAAAGCAGGCCTCCGAGGCTGCTTGACAATACCAGAAGATGCGGAGTCGCTTCTTCGACGCCCCACCTTCTTTGCGATCCACCGCCGCCGCCACCCGGTCACGCGGTGCTACTCGCGGTCAATCCTCTTTCGCCGGCCGCTTTCGCCGACCTGCTCGACCTAGAGCGCCATTCTCTCGGCGCTACAGTTCTCTCGAGTATGGCGAGGACGCCTCAATCAAGCTCGACCCTACCTTTGGGGACACCCCTGAGCTTGGATGACGACACTGTCCCGGTGGTCGAGCGCCTACAGATGGCGATGTCCGCCATGGGTCGTGTGCGCAATCGGGTTGCTCAGGTTGGCGCCCGCACATCCGCGGTCCCTCAGATAGACCTCCCGCAGGGTTTCTTCCCTCCTCGCGAAGCTCTATCCCCTGAGGAGCGTGCCACCCTCGAGGCCCGTCGCGGTTGCCTTCCTTGCCGCCAGGATGGACACACCTCCTCACGGTGTCCATTACATGATGCCCTCGATCAACACTATGTTGACATTTCTCGTTAGCGCTGATCTCAGTCCCCCTCCGGCCCTGCCCGGTCAACCCGATTCAGCTAGCCACGATGCAGTGTACCGCTGAGGCCTCGCACGTAGCCGGTTTCCCGACCACCGAGTCACGGTTTGCCCCTTTGGCTACCCCACCAGAGGATCCTCAGGACACGACATACATAGTTCCCTCTGCCCCGCTGTCTGTCGAGGTACCGTCTGCCCCACAGCAAACCGCCTCATCTAGTCCTTCCCCTCCGAGACTTCCAACGCGTCGCGCCATTCGCACAACCCGTAGTGCTCAGCTGGCGACTCGCGATGAGGTTGTGTCATCCCTCCTGGACTTGAGCATTCTTCAGGCTCGTTAGGAGCGACTCACGAGATAGGTAAACATCATTTGCGTCATCGTCTTACTCTGCCCTCTGACCCTGATCTCACCCTCCCCATTATTCTTATCCGCTTGGGGACATCGATGAGGGTGTACCGCGCTTTATGGGACTCCGGCTCGCAGGGAGACTTCGTTCACCCTCGTGTGGTTGAGGAAGCTCGTTTAGCTACCTCCGGGTCTCGGTCTCCTATCTCCATTACCCTTAGAGATAACAAGACGCAACGCTTCTTCGATCAGACAGTCCCCAACCTCCACTTTTCCCTCACCCTTTTGCCACCGGATAGTACCCAGGCTCCTCGGTGTTACCATTCCTCTGCATACTTCGACGTGTCGGAGACTAGGTACAACTTTATCCTTGGCACTCCCTGGTCTCGCTGGTTCAGTGGCACAGAGGCCGAATGGGCGACCGAGACACTCGTTCTCAAAACGAAGTGTGGTCAGACCCATCGAGTCCCCTTCATTGGAACCATGGCCGACACTCCTCCCGACCTACCTCCCCAGGACCCTCGTTCCTGTGGGTCCCACCCCGACATCGCCTTCACTTTTCCTCATCAGTTTGCTCACTTCATACGACAGGAGGACGTCACATTCTATTCAGTAAACGTCATGGATCTTCTTCGCTATGATCCACTTTGTCCTGAGGTTGAGCTCATCTCTCTGGAGCCCAATCCCCCTGAACCTTCCGCCATCTTTGCGGCTCCCATCTCTACATCCATCCCTTAGCCTGCGGATACCCCCTCGACATCCCAGGTCCCTACCCTGTTCACTGCCGAGTCCACCCATATGTCTTGTGCAGACGTAGACGTCGAGGAACGCATGCGGTTCACGACCGACTTAGAGTCCGCCGTTCGTGATTTGGTTCGAGAAAACCGCGACGTTTTCCTTCCGTATTTCTCACACAGCGAGATTCCTCCAGTGCGCAGTGTTGAGCATTCTATCCAGCTCTTGCCTGACTATCGTGTCCACTATCAGGCACCCTACCGACTCTCGATTCCAGAGGCTACGGAACTCAAGCGTTAGCTTGAGAAGCTTCTTCGACTGGGTTTCATTAAACTTGTAACTCCCCTTGGGGTGCACACGTCCTCTTTGCTCACAGAGTGGACGAAACTGTTCGCCTTTGCATTGACTATCGCGGCCTTAACCGTTACACGGTTAAAAACAACTATCCCATGCCTCGCACGAATGAGTTGTTTGACCGTCTAGCAGGCAATCACTTCTTCACGAAAATCGATCTTCGTAGTGGTTACCACCAGATCCACGTAGCCACAGAGGACCATCCGAAAACCGCCTTTCGGTCGCGCTTCGGCCACTACGAGTTCACGGTGATGTCATTTAGCCTCACCAATGCACCCGCCACCTTCCAGACGGCGATGAACGATATCTTCAGGGACATCCTTGAAGAATACGTTCTCGTATTACTTGATGACATCTTGGTCTACAGTCATACCTTAGAAGACCATCTCAGACACCTCCGTGATGTCCTACATCGCTTACGCAAGCATGGCTTCTATGCCAAGCTTAGTACGTGCCGCTTTGCCCAGAGCAAAGTGGACTTCCTAGGACACCATGTGTCTGACCAGGGTTTCCACATGGACGATGCGAAGATCACTGCTATTGCAAAGTGGCCCGTCCCCACATCTGCCAAGCAGCTTCGCAGTTTCCTAGGCCTCACTAGCTACTATAGTAATTTCATCCAGCGATACACTAGGTATTCCTACGTGCTTACCTCCATCCTCCTCCGGAAGAACCGCCGTGGTTTTGGACACCCTGCTAGGACGCCATTCGCGCCCTCAAGAAGGCGGTGACTTGTGCGTCGGTCTTCGCCTCCTCGATTTTGATCGCCCATTCATCGTCACCACTGATGCGTAAGATTTTGCAGGAGCTGTACTTTCTCAGGTGTTTCCCTCTCCTCCTGATTTACCTTATCCCCATGTTCCTCCTTCCCCCCCCTCTTCCTGTTGGCACTGCTTCTCGACTGACACCTATCCTCCCACCACTTCCCTTCACTGACAGTCCTCCTGTTACTCACTCCCCGACCATTGCGGAGGATGGGACTGTCGAGGCTCGTGTTGGGGATTGCCCGATCGCTTTCTACTCTCGCCAGGTACTGCCTCCCGAGATAAACTACATTGTCGGTGAACATGAGGTTCTTGCAGTAGTTTATGCCACCGACATTGGCGTCATTATCTGCACGGGGCGCCCTTCACGGTGCGCACAAACAACTCAGTTGTCCAGGCTTTCCTCACGAAGCCGAAACTTTCCCCTCGACCGGCACGCCGGTGGCGTGATTTGTCTGAGTTCAGTTTCACCACTCAGCCCATCAAGGGTGAAACGAAACGCGTCTGATCACAATCAGGAACCCATCCATCTTGTTGCCTTCTCCATCACCATTGTTGATCAGCCGGTGATCAACGCATATTGCACTAAGGACCGCCGCTGCCCGGATTATCGCGTCGTCCATGCTACATTACGAAATGGCAAGACCGTTCCTTCATACTCCCTCGGGGAGAACGGACAGCTCCGCGTCCAAGCTGTAGCAGAGTTCCATGACCAGGCAGTTGTCTTGGCTCGTGTTTGCCGCCTATACGTCTGGCCGAAGTCAAAGGACTTCGTCAAAGTCTACATCCAGGAGTGTCCTACCTGCCAGGAGGTGAACAATGCGAACCACCTTCCGTATGGGTTACTTCAGCCCCTACCCATACCTGAGGGTCGTTGGCAGTCCATCTCGATGAATTTCATTGGTCCCCTTCTTCCACCCATTGAGCGCGATCATGATGCTATCTTGATTGTCGTCGATCGTTTCACGAAGCGTGTACGTTTTGTCCCGTGCCGCTATCACATTAGTGCTCGTGAGGTCGCCGACATCGTCTTCGACCGAGTCGTGAGAGATCACGGCTTACCTCAGAGGATCCTCTCCGACCGTGACGCGCTTTACCAGCACATTCTGGCGACGCCTACACGAGGTGTACGGATCCCAGCTCCGCTTCTTATCGTCTTACCACCCTCAGACAGATGGTCAGACTGAGGTCACCAATAAAACTGTCGGTAATATCCTTCGAAAGTTTATAAGGGGTGACCAGCAGTGGGACTTACACTTAGCCTATGCGGAGATTGCGTACAACCATTCCGTTTCGCCAACCATAGGGATGTCACCATTCTATTGTGACCTCGGCTACCACCCTCGCGTACGCGCGGACTTCCTACGACCGTCGCGGTTGCGCCCAGACACTCGTTGTCCTGCTCTTGACGATTGGATCGCCCACATGGCAGTGATTATGAAGCGCGCACATGAGAGTCTAGCCGACTCCCAGACTCGCATGACTGCACGAGCGAACCGATCACGAATGGATCATCCATTCAAAATCAGTGACAATGTGCTCGTCGACGCCCGCCGCTTGCAACTCGAAGTGGATACGCTTCGCAAGTTTAGGCGTTACTTCTTCGGTCCATGCCGCATCCTTCAGGCCGTCGGTTCTAATACTGTTGCTAGTCCGGTCAACTTCCGTGTGAAGCTACCTGATTACCTTCGACAGGCTCGCGTACACGATGTTTACCACGTCTCCTTGCTGCGTCCTTATCGCAGACCGTCCGAGCGCTGCGCTGGACGTCCTTATGAGCGCCCTCCACCTATCATGGTGGACGGTCACGAGGAGTTCGTCGTTTTCGACATCGTATCTCGCTGATTTATCAACGATACCCCTCCACGCATCGAGTACCTTGTGCATTGGAAGGGCTATCCTGATGAGGAGGCTACTTGGGAGCCACTTGAGCACTTGGAGCATGCTCGGTATATGGTGCATGCATATGATCGTGCTCGTCGTGTTGATACATCTGCCCCTTGATAAATAAAATATAAAGAGAGTTGTATATCAAGATAGTTATATGTTTTTCTATCTATATTATACATTATACATACATTATACATTCAAAGAAGAAACTATATTTCATTTTTCCTTCATTTTTTTTTCACAATATTGACATATTATAGAACAAACAATAGTCGACTGACCCACTTCCTCCTCCTCCGGCTGAGGAGTTTATTGAGGACGAGCCTGCTCCCTCTGAGGCCGTTCTTCAGCAGCAGACCGACGCCTCCGCGCGTCCACAACGCACTTGTCGACGCCCTTGACGTCTCGACGACTGACACTTCGATCACCCACTTCTCCCTACCGACGCACACCTTCAGGTACTCCATCATCTGCTTCTTCAGGATGCCAGCGTTTTGCGGCTCTGCTTTGACATCGACTCGACTCGTACTTCATCGACATCATCGACCACTTCGACGACTTCAACTACCCTCTCGACTTCAGCTACCTTATCGGCTTCAACTACTTTGGACGTGACTCCCTCACGCCACCACCCTACCCTGTATATTCCCTTGCATGTGTCGTATGATGGTTCTCACTTAGTTGGGTGTCTCTGAATTGGGCTCTCGCTTGGTATCGCATAGGCATTGGGACCGTAGCGTTCTCTTGGCTTCCCTACTCCCAGATGTAGCTCCCTCCCCCAGTCGGTGAGTTGTGTGCATGTTTCCCTCACCCATTGCATCCCTCATCACCCTAGTGTCGGCCATTGCATGCTCTCAGTTAGGCATATGTCCACCCTATTCCAGGCTCCCCTTTCATGGTCGACCCTGCATGGTGTCGCCCTTTCATCGAGCATTACCCACCTTGATGGTCTATATGTTAGGGTCATTGGTTCTGCTTCGCTACCACTCTCTCACCTTGAGCTTGATGCCCTATCCGACCTTCATGTGTGACTGCCCTTAGGAGTTTCGATTCTTAGGCTGCATTCACCCCCTCGGAGACCATCCCACTCTTAGTGTTTCAGCGACATGGCATTACTTGTGACATATTGCTTTGAAATATTGCTCTTTTCCCTTTCAGCACTGAGGCAATTGCCTCCAGGACTTTAGGATTGTCTGTTGCTACATTTCATTTTTTGTTGTTAGCTAGGATGTGCATACCAGACATTTGCTTTTCATTTGACATTATCTAGCTTAGGCTGCATCGCATGGACTCCGTATGGAGGTTGCTCCGCATCCTAGATTTCTCAGATTTCTTTATTACAGAGTTCCGCTGCTTTTGCGGATAGCGTGCTTATGGCTCTTGCAATTTATGGCTCTTGCGATCCACTACAGGTCTGAGGATCGTGCAACAGGCCTCTATCTGCCTTGGCCTACAGCCAGGGCCTACCGGGCTATTTGCCTGTTCGGCCTGTGGGACCAGGCCGTGGCCTGACCCCATAGGCCATGTGTTGTTCCAGTCCAGTCCTGTCTTGCCCGGTACCACTGTCGGTACCAGGCCAGTGCAGTCTAGTCCAGTCAGTCCGCTGGGGGTATACCCCAGCTGCAGTCTGTTTCTTGGAGCATTTTTCATTTGCACACTTTGGAGTACGTGCGTGTCGACTCTGCGTTGGAGCTGCGTTGTCCCTTCCAGCTCCATCTCCATGTCCTCCATCCTCATCCCTTCGTCTTGATCCTGACAGACCGCCATCCCGGCGGGTCCGTCACAGACAAGGTGATGATTGAGGAGAAGGCCAAGGGGATAGGAAAGAAAGAACCCCAGGAGAAGCTCATGAAGGATGCAATGAAGGTCACGAAAGTGACGCAGGAAATACCCGAAACTTCCAAGAAGGAACCTGAGAAACCGGCGGAACAGAAAGAAGAGCCCGCTAAGAAGGAACCGACCAAGGAGGTTGAAAAGCCGAAGAGAAAAGAAAAAGTGAAGAGGAAATTACCCTTTACCTATAATGGAAAGCGAGGTGAGCATTTGTTGCTCTGGATTGCAACAATCCAAACATATTGTAGCACTGCACCGATAGAGCCAGAAAGGCGAGCGACTTTCACTCTCTCATGTCTAGGTGAGGTAACCAAGGAATGGGTCTTGTCTCAAGCCAATGTGCTGCTGGCTTCGAGGACATAGGTGAGTGGGCCAAAACCTTGACCCTCTAGGAATTTCTCCAAAAGATTAAGGAAAGAGTCCTGGACAAAACGACGGTCGATAAGGCATTTGACGAGCTCACCACCATCGGCGAAAAGCGTTGGACGACAGTGGATGCATTGTCTCATGAAGTTGATCGGTTGTTGCCGGTCTGAACCTGCAGGACAATCAAGTCCTTTATATGTTCTCGCGGGCATTGCCAGAACCCATTCGAGGGCATCTAGTCGTCGAGGCGAAATCCGATAAATACAATTATTGGCAGTTTCATGACCTCGCGCTCCAGAGAGAGCAAATGACTACTTAGGTAAATGGAACGTATATGTTTGTAGTGAAGAATGGTCCGGTTGGCGGGTATGGGAAGCGTGTCCTGTGGCGACAAAAACGACAGGACCACATGCTCGTTGTCTTTGACGACGACGCGGTGGAGAAGCTACCTCTTGATGAGGCTGAGGGAGGAGGAGTTGGCAACAGTGAGTTAGGAAAGGGTGACATCACTGCTGCGGTGACCAACCAGGGAGGTACCAATTCTTGGAATAGGAAGAGGAGACCACGCTCCTTTCCTGAGCACACCAGCATTGGGGTCGGGAAACCTTGGGAAAAAATCGGTCTGTCACGGGAAGGATTGCAACAACGAATGGATAATAGACAGTGCCTTAAGTGTGGCACTGCAGGGCACAATAGCATCTGCTCCTACTGAGTTGAGGGGTTTAGTTGAAGATCAGGCGCTGATGACCCCTTTTAACCCCCCGACTCATATGGCAGAGGATGACTCTTCTTCGGCCCGTCGTCCAGAACATCCTGACACTGTTTTATGTTCTGTCTCGCTGGATGATTCCCTTGACGAACTCAGAAATGAACTCATATCTTTAAGAAGTTTGTGGGCTAAGAAAGCAAAGTCTGAGGGTGAGTCGATGATCGCAAACATCGAGATTGCACGTACGTGAGTAGGTGCCTTGTTAGACCTACGATCGACGCGGTCCTACATCTCAGAGAAGGTAATTCGAAAGTTGCATCTGGGAATGAAGGTGAAGGACTTGCCAAGACCTGTCACGACTATGTTGGCTGACAAGAGCACGATCACTGTCTCTCAATATGTTGATCGTGTGAAGTGCTATTTTAGAATAAAGGAAGGAAAGAAGATCTTGCATTAAATATCCTTTCTAATTGAGAAAAATTTACCCTTTGATATTATTCTGGGTATGGATTGGCACAAGGAAGCCGACCCAGAAGTCAAATTCAAAGAGAAGATTGTCAAACTCAAGGACGAAAAGTCTGAACTGAAAGCGATTAAATTGAATCACAAGTCTGGCTCTGACTCGTCATTGCCTTTTTGTTGTATGAGTTACTCAACCTTTAGATCGATGGTTTCGAAAAAGAAGTTGGATCAGGATGTGATGATGGTGCTCGTCAAACGAGCAGGTGAATACTCCTCATCTTATCCTCCTTCCATTGAAAAACTACATCACGAATATAAGGACTTGCAGACTCAACCAACGGGAATCACTGAGCGTGCTATTAAGCACACAATTGAGATTATCCTTGGTAGTAAGATTCCGAAGGGTCCCGTCTATCGTATGTCTCCTAGAAACTTGAGGAACTCAAGAAACAACTGCGAGAATTAACTGAAAAAGGATGGATTCGCCCGAGTTCATCTCCTTATACTGTTGCTGTCTTATTCGTGCCCAAAAAGGAAGGTGAACTTAGGAAGGTGAACTTAGACCATGTATTGATTATCGTGGGTTGAATGTCGTCACCGTCAAAAACGCGGAACCACTTCCATGCATTGACGACTTGTTGGACCAATTGCAGGGATGCAGGTACTTTAGTAAGATTGATCTCAAGTCAGGGTACCACCAGATCGAGGTGGCTCCTGAGGATCAACATAAGACAACCTTCCGAACCAGGTATGACCACTACGAGTTCGTGGTTATGCCTTTGGCACTGACTAATGCTCCTGCTACCTTCCAGAGGTTTATGGATGAATTGTTTCGTCAATGGCTGGATCAGTTTGTAGTTGTTTATCTCAACGATATCCTCGTGTATAGTAAGATAGTGGAGGATCACGAAAAGCACCTACGATAGGTTCTACAGAAGTTGCGCAAAAACAACT